GGTGCATAACCTTGCACTGGTCTGTGTTGAAACCCATCCTATTCTCATCTGCCCACCCTTGTAACCTGTCCAGGTCAGATTGTAGCCTGTTGCTTCCTTCTAGTGTGCCCACGTCCCCCCCACATCTTAGTGTCATCAGCAAATTTGAACAGGGTGCTTTTTACCCCCTCGTCCAAATCACCGATGAAGATGTTGAACAGCGCGGGCCTGATGACCGAGCCCTGCGGAACCCCACTGCCCACGTCCTTCCAGGTTGAGAAGGACCCATCCACTACCACCCTCTGGGTGCGGCCCTCCAGCCAGTTGGCGACACATTGGACTGTGTGGGTGTCTACGCCACAGCCCCCCAATTTCTTAATGAGAACGGGGTGAGAGACATTGTCAAAAGCCTTCTGGAAGTCCAGGAAGACTATGTCCACTGCTACCCCTGCATCTAATGATCTGGTTTAAATTGGGTTTGATTTAAACTGTCCATATAAATTTATTTACTTCTCAGTCTATTAAAAATAATAAGCCTGGCACCTAATTATCTGGTTGTCTAAAACAATAGAAACAACATTAATGCATATATCCTGTGTACAGATTGTTTTCTTCCAACATTCCTTCCCACACACAGTTTACGTTATCCCAGTGAGGAACACAAACTGATTCTGCTGTCCTTGAAGTCAATAAAAGTGTTGGCTTTGACTTCAGTGGAAACAAAATCTGGTCCTACTCCATGAGTCCTGGCATGAGAGTTCACAGCATTACATCATTTTTTAAGACTGCAGCTTATGGAGTCACGCCAGCATCAAGTGGGACAAATAAGCATTCAGAAGTTTGTATAAGTGATGCTATATTTGTTTTCACTCTCCAAATTGTATAGGTACGTTTCAAGCTGTCGGCAAATACTTCCAGCACTCCATTAAATGAAGCAGGAGTTAGTTCAACATCTACTCCATTAATGCCTCCAGACTCTGGCCACATGTAAGTTTATTTGATGCATGCGTGTGTGTGTATGTATCCTTGCCTCCTGCCCCCAGTTTAATGTTAAGTTACTTTGAGAGTGATATAACGAGTGGCAACACTTAAGATGAGAGACTTCACCAGTCTAAGTCACATTTTCACTTTAGTGTGTATGCACTAACACTAACCCTAACACCACCCCCCC